TTATTTGCTCTATATTTTGTCTCTTATTATTATTGTTTTTTTCTGTTGTATTCATTCAAAGCATAAAATACTTTAAATTACAGTTATTTATTATACTACATGAGAATATATTATATCTAATAAATATTAAATATCAGTAGTATATAACAGAGTTGTGTAGAGGAATGTGTTATTTAGAGAGTAAAATTAAAAGGTTCTCTTTTGTATTATTATAAGAAATTTGAAAAAGAAAAATAAAAGTCCGTTTTATGCTCTTTAAATTAAAGAGAACTTTGAGATTGTTTTGATATATGTGAAAATAAAGTAAGAATTACATAAGTGAAATTTATTAATCCTTTTAACAGCTAAAATATATAAATTTATTAGAGATCCAAGAACGTAAATATTTTAATGCAAGAAAACGCATGAATATTGACTATAAATTCTTTGGAAAGGGCTCTCGTTAAGGTAGTTTAATGAAACTGTCTATCCGGGCCAATATCTTTTGCTCTGGAAATATTTTGAAATTAAGGACTCTTAGTCCAATAAAATCTTGATTATATTATTCTATACAATATTCTATTCTATTTGGCTTCTTAGGACCCAAAACCGCACTGTCTCCTCCTAGTGGAAGGCCCCGGTAATGGTGGAGGATAAAGGGGTGATTGAAACGATCAAAGTTACGTTCGTGTCGTGGTCATGTCTCGCGGCGAACCTCTTGTTTTGTGAGTTTCACCCCTATATCTATACGTCAGCTGACGACAGGCGTCCCAAGTCAAGGTGGAACAGCATATGCCCATGACTGCGTGGCTAAGAGGGGCTTAGTCGTTAGTATGCGGACTTTGGATACCAGGCGGCCTCCAGTTTAAACGAGCCTTCTCATGATATGCCGGGTCCTGCCATGGGTGACTATACTTTCCCGCGCTACTCGTGGGAACAAAATGGAGAATGTGAACAATAACAACAAAAACAACAGTAACAACAAGAACAACAACTGCGACAAATACAACAACTGCGACAACAACAACAATAACAACAGTGACAATTACAACACCAACAGCAATATTAAGGACAACATTAATACAAACATAGTTAGTGCTCAAGGGTCTGCGGAACCAGAGCTTCTCTCGACCGACGCAGAGGAGAAACTCCTTCTCACGCCAGTAGAGGAAAAGCGCCTTCGATGGAGATGGATAATCAGGATCATCTTGGACCTATTATCCAACAAACTGAAGAGGACGACAAAAAGAAAGCTCGCAGATATGAGAAGGAAAGGCTAGAAAAGCTAAGGGCCTGCGGATCGGGTGTTGTGGCCGATTATCCCCAGAAGAGGGAAAGGTCAGAAAGCAGTGCCCTCAAAAAAGAGGTGGATGAAGGGCAATGCTGAGGGAAAGGTCCCTGGGAACATTCCTCAACAAAACCAGAAAATGACTTCTTATCGGGATGCAGTAGCACAGGTCAAGGTGGCCCTGACTCACAAACTGCATCCAGAGGAAAGGCTATCCGAAGTCCAGATGGGGAAAATCAAAGTAGCCATCATGGATGAAATGAATAAAGTTGTAGATTCTCATCCACAATTCACTGCAGCGTTGGAAAGGGATGGATGGATATCCGTAACATACAATAATCAAAACACCAAGGAGTGGATAACCAGTGTCTGCAGGAAGATAAAGCTTTGGGACGGTTGCAACGTCGTGGTACTGGATGGCGACGACATGCCCAAACAGCATGTCTGCGTCACCTACGTGCCAAAGAACGAGACAACCGTCAGTCTCTCCAGGGACAAATTCCTAAGTAGGATAGGGAAGCAAAATCCTATCCTCAAGATGAGTTCCTGGAGGATGCTGAGGATTTATAAGGAAAAGGACGGGGGCTGCTCCATCACCTTTTCCGTGAATGATTCCGGATTGGAAGATCTACGGAAAGCGGAGTTCCGACTTTTCCTGAACTTCTTCCGTGTTACCGTTCGGGTTAAAGGAAGAAAATCCTCTCAAGGTGGTGGCGGCAGGGTAGGACAAAATAAAAAACCAACACCCACCGCGACAACGACGACCACTTCAGGCCAACCAAAAGAGCCAAAACTCATTGGAAAGTCTGAAATCGCTCCGAAAACAGCGGAAATGAGCCATCGACCAGCGCGCCGGATAAAAGCGTCTCGGATGAAACAAAACGGCCAAAGCTCACTGGGAAGACCGGTACTGCTTCGGTATTTGCTGTTGGAGGGGCTAGTGTGGCATCTAGGACGACTGTAGCAGGGAAGGCGCCCACCAAGATGCGTAAAAAGGCGGCAGTGAGAAGCAAGGCTCATGTAAAACCTTTGTCTAAAGGGCCAAAACCCATAGACAAGAGCCGGAGGAAATGATATGGCTGTGAGGTGCATCCAAATAAATCTACAGCATGCTAGAGCATCTACTGATGTCCTGGCTCATATATTTATGCAGGATCACCTCGATATCGCCCTTATCCAAGAGCCTTACATAGTGAAGGATCAGATTAAGGGCCTAACAGGTTGGGACGGGGATATTATAGGCGGGACCGTGGTGAGGCTACAATAAGTAAAGAATGGCAGCAGTGGCTTGGGGGTTACTCCTGTCCCACTTTCTAGAATTTGGCTTCTTTATGAATGATACGAAACTCATCTACAATCTACAACTTGGCTTCTTTATGAATGATACAAAACTCAACTCAATCTTAAACTATAAATCAGTGTGTGGTGAATTTTAATATTTTGGTCAACTACTTTAATCTTACATAGAATATAGAGGTCTGTACGCCCTTCTCACTTGGACCAATAGGATCTTTTGTGATTTCTATCCCTACCTACATTATCACTATATTTAGGCCCCTGTAAAATAGAAGTGTTGGAGCTAGCTAAACAAAGCCCCTTCCGAAGCACCCCAGTCGTAGGCGAGCTACCGCCTTGCATTCTCACTCTTAGTCCTTTTATATGCATAAACGGCAGACCTCGTTCTAAGCCTTGAGCATCTGCTTCAAATGGGTTATTAAGAGAAAGTGCCCAGTGAGCACACCAGTAATTTCAAATCTGGACGGTCAAGTGTGGTCAGCTCCCGTTTACTCGGTCCCAAAATATTAAGAATTAGTTGGTTTATTTTTGTATAATACTGTGTAGAGAACGTTCTCATTCAACTACAAAATTATATTGAAATCAAAATCAAGAAATTTCTCTGGGTTTACCTACATTTCAACTCAAATTTCTTTACGATGAATTTAATTGCTTGACCTTAGAGTTTATGGTGATGTTTAATTTGAATCATATATTAATTTATTTTAATTGATTTTTTAAAATGATTGAAAAATTAAATTCAATAAATTCTTTTCACTGCAAAATATCCTACTAAATTTTCACAACGACTCACTTTTGTCTACAAAAATTTCTTTTCATATTAAAAATTAAATAAAAATTTCTTTTCATATTTTTAAAAAAAAAAAAGTTCTTTTCATATCTTAACATTGACCAACATATTGTTTACGAAAATATTTTAAAATCAAATAATTCGATTATGGTTAGCAAATTCAAAATTTAGACAAAAGAAAACCTCGAAATTCTCATAATCATTCTACTGGTCACATATACGGTAAAATTCCATGACGTTATTTTAGGACTAATAAAGAACATCTTGAAAAGAAAAAATATTTAAAATAAACAAGAAGAACAAGGAACAAAAAATCAATAAAATGTTAATTAGCTAGGAGTTTTTTTTGTATTTTACTTTTTTGTCGAAAGCTGCAGTATCCTTGATTTCTTTCTTCTTTGTTTCATTCTTTTTAATTTCACTTTTATATGACACAAAAGTAATATAAATAAAAGTGCAATTAAAATAGAAGAATACCCTTTTTAAATTACAAAATATTGCATACATGTAGCGGTAAATTGGTTTTTCTTTAATATTTGTGTAAACATGTGGTATGATATCAGTGTATTTACACCGAAGTGTCGTGTCATCCGAGTTTAATGACAAATTGACTTATCTAGCAATAAAATTTTTATTTGCGGTTAATAAGTCTAATTGCGTTTAAATTTTAATTCAGTTGGTAGAATTTTGAAAAATTTAAAAAAACAATGCATATTTTTAGGGGTATGACTACTTTTACATTTGGTCTTAAAAACTACAAGTTTAGACTTAAGTCTGAAAAAAATACTAAAAACACTGCAAAAAAAAAAATGGAAAATTACACATATTAAAAAAATAATTTTAAATTATTTTTTTGCAAAGAAAGTGTCGGATCCTATAAAAGAAGTTGTCTAATCCTGGTATAAAAGAATTAATTTAAAAATAATTGACGATAATCACTTATTAAGACAAGGGTATTAAATATTCATGTCAAAATACCTATGTCAACTAATAAAATATAAAACAAAGAAAAAAAATTAAAAAAAAAAACAAGAAAAAACAAAAGGACACTAAAGTTCCTTTAGGCCATTATCAGTACCAAAGAGACCATTAATTCAATGACTTAAACTTTCTTTTGTTCTTAAATTGTTATACGCTTTACTCTTTTAAATTATCCTTTACTAATTTTTTTTAATTTTTTGCTCTAGCTATTCAATATTTTATAAAACCTTGTTATTTTTTGAATAAAAAAAAAAGTAATATAAAATAAAAAAATTAAAAAAAGCCGGAGCAGAAAATATACGCAAAATTTTTGGCCTATTGCCATTTTCATTATAAAATTTTATTAAATTGCATTATTTTTTTTTTGTTTTTTGCAACCTAAAATTCAAAAAGAGAAAAAAATATTAAAATATAATTTAAAAAATTTTACTCTCTTTGGTACCTTTATACAAAGCCTTATAATCTAATATTCCTGTATAAAACAAACTCTAATGCTATTTAAGTACCAAGTAAATCTTAAAATTATAAAAAAGGATTTAACACGTCTTATATGCTTTTTTATTTGTAAAAAAATTTAATCAATTATTTGAAAAATGTGAAATTCTTAAAGTAAGCATGTACTATTTAAAATATTTTATAAAAAAAAAATTATTTTATAAAATTTACCTTGAAGTTAGGAATGCTTTAAAGGTGCCTAAAAGACCAGCTCTTCTTGCTTGTCTATAACATGCAAAATCAGCTCCTCTAATTCCTTGTAAATCTCCATAGTACGGTTCATTTAATGCTGCCATTCTTAACTGAAATTATGATTTAAATATGCGGGATATGAGAAAATTAATTTTAAATAAAATTTATTTTAATATAATAGTATAACAGTTTTGTATAATAGTATAACAGTTTTGCATAACAGTATAACAGTTTTGTATAACAGTTTTGTATGCATAATGTATGTGTTATAATTAGATTTATTTTAATTTATTTTAAATTTATAAAAAAAAACAATTTTTTTTACTATTTACAAATAGGCTTTAATTTACGGGAAAACCGCCTATAATGTAACATAACATATAAATTTTTTTTGTTATATAATATAAATAGCGATTCGTTATATTTTTATCTGTTTATTGTTAGATTTTCAGAGGTTAATTGAAAGTTAAATTTAGGCATGTTAAATGCAATTAAAAAGTTTTATTTTAAAAATTATTTCGTTTTAAGTGCAATGTTAATGTTTCGTATAACACTAAAATTATCTATAATTAGATTTTGCCCAAGGTCAATATTTCAAATAATATCACCATTACTTTAATTGAAGAGTTTAATTTTTAAAAGTGCAATTATTCATTCCATTTACCAGAAAAACGGAGTAATCAAATCAAATTAATTTACACTTCATTTAAAATTTGATTGAATTTTTTTCATATTTTTTTTTGCATAACTATAGGAGGAATACTCAATTTGCATAACTGTAGGATGATAATTAGAAAATATTCAAATTTTATTTAATTTAAAGGTTTTTGAAGTAGGAATTAGTTTGACAATAATATAGCTAGAGATTTTATATTGAAATTTGAATGTTTTTAGTTTTTCTTAGCTATAGGTCTTATTTCAAGGTCTTAATACATTATTAAGTACACATGCAATATTAATTATAAAATAGCAAGTTAATTGACTTTAATTATAATTTTCATGTTTAAAACAAATTTTTTTTTAATAATTCTTAATTCAACATTTTCATAAAATTTAGCATGAATTTTTGTTGTGATCTCAATCAATTAATTGCATGTACTTTGTGGTAACAAGAAAAAACCTTCAATTTAAATACAAAATATAAGAAATAATTATTGTAAAAGGTTTTAAATAAAATGTTAAAAAAAAAAAAACAATAAAATTTTTATTGTTTTTTAATGAGTCTCTAATTTCTGATAATTTCTGTTTTTCTCATTTTACAGAACTAGCAATAACATGCACGAAATTCTACTCTTATTTTCGTAGCTCTTTATTATATTGGGGTTGAATATGATGGTTAAGGGTAATTTTTATTACCCTTTCAAACAAATTAAGTGTATAATTTTAATAAAGGTTAAAACCTCCATTTCAACAAAAAAATATTAAAATTCTTACGTATTTGTACTTTGTTTTAACTTTCATTTAATTTTTGTTTTAATAATTAACACTTTACTTTTAATGTTTATAAAGGAGAACTTACCATTCGTGGATACCACTATTTTTATTGTTAAGGTTGATTATATTTTAAAAACGATTTTCATTTTGATTTTTTTATTTTTAATTTGTTAAAAATCAAATATGTTTTTTATTACAAATAATTTTTTTTTCCATGTTCATTAAATCCATTGTTATTTGTTCATAAGCGAAAATTTGTTAAAAAATTGTAATTTCACCCCAATAATAAAATGCCCGAAAAAATATTGGATGCAGTTGTAGCGGAACATTAAAGTTGTTCACGAATGAGAGCAGCATTAAAAAAATGAGAACATTATAGAAAAAATAATTTTTTTTTTATTTTATTTTCAAGGTTTTTTTCTTTGTTTCAAAAACTTTTTTCTTTAAAATGAAAAAAATAAATGTTACTTTAATTACTTTTATTTTTTCGTAAAAGAAATTAAAATTAAAAATAATGAAAACGATTAAAATATTAAAATAAAAAAAAAATCAATTGCATATTATTAATAATTAAATTTTAATGCATAATATATACAGGGTGTGTCATTACCATTACAAATTTTCTAAGTGTTTGAATTGGGATTATTTAATGTTCGTTTTTTGAAAATCGATTTTAGAAAATCAAGAGAATGGCCTTGTTATTTGTATTTGATTACCTAAAATTGATTTTCTTTGTTAAATCAGACATTCAATTTGAAACACCCTTTATATTATGGCAATTTAAGTCTAATTAACAGAACTGAGATGAAATGAAAATTTGTGCTCCAATTATTAGGGAATCACAAAATGATGAAATTGTAATGCAATAATGAAATTGTAAAAAAATAAAATTGAATGTCTCCTTAAAAATTCTTAAATAATTCCGGAATTATTCCTCAAATGGACCTTATGAAATTTATTTTACAGTTCAGGCCCAGTGCAGTAAATAAGTTGTTTGATTTCGATGGCTCCGAAGTAAAGAAGTTTCATTAAAATTGTCACTATTTTAAATATAATCATGTCAATATAATTGAAACACGCTTGAAATTTCCGACTCCTCTTACAAAACCAGGAAGAAAAATTTCAATTCTTTCTGAATTATAATGCCCTCAATTACTTATTTTTATACCATTTACAAGTTAATCACTAACACATAATGTTACAATATAACGTTAATGTCATATTACTCATCATATTTTTGTAGAACATTTTTATATTTCCTTTTTAACACTAAATTGTGTTAAATCATTGTGCATACATTTGCATTAAGTACCTAACATGTACATAGTTAAACACTAACTAGAAACTATACATTTTAATTAGTTAATTAATATAGTAGCCTTAAAAAGTGATATGGTTAAAACAAGCCATATACATAGTTAATTTAAATAAAGGGTGTATAACAGATATAACAGATGTATGTATTACAAAGAACAAATAGAGTTACACTAAAATATGGCTAATAAAATTGATGTGGTCAATATATTGGCGGCTGTTTTCTTTATGCGTGTGTTTCCAATTGAAGGATTTCATTAATTGCATTTGATAACAAGTTTCAAATTCCTTGGACTATGGTTGTACGAAAATTGGGACTCTGATAAGGAAAGTCAAAAATGTTGAATAGAGATGACGGGAGGTGCTTTTATTAAATACAAAAAAGTACATACCAATCGAGAGATCAACATCAATCTAAGATTTCGTTTTATTAAGTGCTATACATATGGTCTATTCTCTTATATGATGTTGAACCCATGGACTCAAAAAGTTGCGATTATGAACAAAATTAAAGCATTTGAAATGTGGCTTTACAGGCGAATACTAATTTCTTGGAAAGATCGGGTCAATACTACAGAGGTTCTTAATAAAGTTAATATACAAAGAGAATTATTTGTGTCAATGAAAAAACCCAAAACTGCTTACTTTGGTCATATTATTAGTGGATGTAAATACGAACTTTTGCAATTAATTCTTCAGGGTAGAATAGAAAGAATGAGGGTTTTAGGGGCGGAATCAAATGTCGTGATTACAAAATATCGGGATTTAGACTAACTTAACACTTATTGGTCAATTGATCCAAACAGCATCTAGCCTTAAATTTATATTCTACAGAAAACAATACTTCTCTTCCTGTATAATAAGTGATTGTTACAAAAAAAAAGAGGGAAATGAAAAGCATAAATAAAAATCAAATAAAACAGAAACAATAATAAAGATAAACACAAAAGAAAACTAATTTTAACAAATACCAGTTTAACAAACACATAAAAACTTAATTAACACAACAATAACAGTAACATATACAATATAACATATAAAAATGAAATGAAAAAGAAAATGTTAAGTAAGCAGGAAAGAGATTGAAAATACAAAGAAATAGAGAGCGGAGAAAGAGAAAGAGAAGAGAGAGGAGAGGTGTATTTAAAGAAAATAACAGAAAAGAATTTCGAATTGTCGAATTCGGTTTGGTTAGTAAAAAGAGGAGGGGGGAAAAGTTTGGGGTTAAGTGCTTAATTTATAGTTAAGTGAATTTTCCATTTATATTTTTATTTTTTTACAATTTACATACATATACACATGTAATTATAGAAGCAAATAATATGCGCCTTGTATATAAATTTCAACTGTAATTGTACACAAATAAGTTTAATTTGTAACAAGTTTTTATTTGCTTTAGATTGGGTTAAAAGTAACCAAATTAAAATTATTTTCATTTTTCGGATTTTGTTTTTTCTTTTATTGTGTCAGGACGAAAAGGAATTTTTATTTCGATAATATAAAACCGAAAATACATAAAAGAGAGAGAGAGAGAGAAGAAAAAGAAAAAATTAACACAAAATTTTTATTCGCACTAAATAGAGTTGTAATTGTTAACAGTTTTTATTGTCATTCTTATTGTTGCCAGTTGCTGTTGATTTTTTGTTGATTTTTTATTATCCTGATTGTTGTTATTTCGATTTTTTATAATTATATTTTTGTTAAATTTTTTTTATTTTTTATTCGAATGTTTTTTTACGTCCATGTTTTTTCTGATTAAATTTTTAAATTAAATTTTCTAAATTGGAATTTTAATTTAAAAAATATTTGAAATTAATTACAATATTACATACAAATTTAATTTTTCAATATTGTTTAGAAAAATTTTCCTATTAAAATTCCATTTATTTTAAATAGAAAATTCCATTTATACTATAGCCATTATTTTATATAGAAAATATTTTTATTTTAAACGCCAATAAACAGAAATTAAAACCGAGTATTAAAAACTTTTCATTACAAATTTTTTGTTTTTGTGTTTTGAATGGAATTGTCATTTTCTCAATTATTTTAAAATTATTTTAAAAATTTCAATAATTTTTTTCGTAATTAAAATAATTTAATTTAGTTGGCAAATTAAATCGAAATTATTTAGTTTTAATAGCAAGTAGTGTGTGAGTATTAGAAAATAGATGAGTATTCTAAAATTATATAAGTTTATAGTTTTAGAAATTGCGATGATGGAACAGAGATTGGATAAATTAATTAGTTCACATTTAAAGTTTTCGATTTCATTTAAAATATAGTACGGGCCAACAAATAGAAAACCATAAAAATTAAGCGAATAAGTAAAGCTTTAAGAAATTTAAAAATATTGAATTGAAAATTTTTTAATTTTGAGAACTGATTTTGGGCAATATTATGACGGAATTGAATTTGCAATTCTCTCAAATAAATTCATTGGAATTACTTTATATTATCCGAATGCGATAAAATATTCTGACAGTAGACCCCCTACGCCCTAGTAATGAGTCTGTGAATAGTAATATCGGGAATTTCTATAAAATTTTATGTAATCAAATTGTTATAATCTATAATATTGAATTTTTAGTTATTCGCCTAAAAATATGCAATTTTAAAATAAATTCTCAATATTATTTTTATTTTACTGATCATTCGCATTTGAATTTGACTCGTAGCCATATTGAATTTTATTTTACAAACTGCAAAAAAAATTATAACAGTTTGATAAAAGTACTTTTTTTCAGTAAAACATACCACAACAAAGTACCATTATTAATTATTAAGTATTCCGATTATAAGGCCCTACAGCAATGAAAACGTTTTTCTGACAAATTAGCTTTTACTTTGATCTTTTATAATATTTGTGTTTTTTTTTCTTTTATCCCATAAGTTTAACAAATTAAGTAGAAAATTTTCTTATTTGTTATATTAACTAATTAATGTGCAATATACATATACATATAAACAAGTAAATAATATTATTATAGCGTTAGTACAACTATACAAAGTAAGCAAAGTAAGCAGAGGAAGCAGATCATTTTCTGTATATATAATAAATTAGGATGTCATTTAAAAATCAAATGTGACATTTTATTTTTCTTTGCTTTTGTTATTTTGTCATTGCTTTCTGACTTATTTTTCGTATAAAATAAGAATCTATCATATATGTGATTTAATATATAGATTCTCTTGTTACGCAATTATGTAATACATTGCTTGCCTAATTTATCTTTTTTACTGATAATAAGAAAATGGAATAAAATTCCTTATATAAATATAGTATACCTAAATATTATAAAATACGTAATATACAGCGCTTAAAGGTAACAGAAATAGAGAATCACAGAATATGTGAGATTGAATACAGTATAGATTTTCCCCCTTTCATACAACAAACTAAATCCATATTCAAAACATATTTACGTATTACATGTATTACACGTAGAAATACTCTAAACATGCATATACGTCTCTGTGCCAGCCCAAAAAAATTGGATAAATAAGATGTACAAATTTGATATAACACAACTTTCGGGCTTTATTTAATTTAGCGCTCCGTTGGCCTTATGTATTTTAAGTAAAAATCGTAACAGATTGTTTGAAGCTTCTTCTAGTGTAAAAGGTAATTATGTGAACAATCACTAAGTCAACTTCAGCAATACCTAATTCTATGTAATACAAAATACAACTAAGACTCGATTTGATTGTTGGTCGATTTTGAATGGCGGTCGAACATTTCAGTGACAATTTAGAGAGAATGATTAATAGATTTCCCGAATTTTC